TGATCTCATGTCAAATTCCAGGCAGTTTACAGTCACCTTTACAGAATACATCGCGAGAAAAGCATATTGCGCCTACCGCCTATCAATGATCACCACAGCTCACAAAATTGCGCCGTGTACCTCGCAACTGCTTTTTCCTACATTCTGTTTTCACATGTCTTTTTTTTGCTAAATTTTACGCTGTCAGCTACAATATGAAGAAAAACAATGAAATGAAATCTAAAGGAAACTTAATCAATAGTGAGTACAGCACTTGTGACCTCTGGTTCATGAACAAACTATATTCATCTCCCGCCTGAATACACTCAAGTTCACGGCTGCATAGAAACCTGGTGGACAGAAAACAAGGGTTACAAGAGCCCTACCATGCCATCCGCTGTTTGGTAGCTGCTGCGATCTGAAGAGCGCTTTAGTCTCAAAAAGGGACACATACTATAAACCGCTGAAGAGGTAAACAAGTTGCGTTTTGCAGGTGTATACGCAACGAAGTTCGTCCCACAAAGTTCGCCTTTTACATGTTCTATGACAGCATCTACCCACACACTATAAAACTTTCAGGGAGAAGGTGTGTGTCACTAACCATAAGTCACGGGGCGGCGTCGCGCTTTTTGCCGCTCGCGAGCTGTACTCAGAAACGCTTGCATAATGGCGTCGCGGAATGCCGCATATTGCCGCACGCCCCTGCGACCTTCATAGTGGGACCAGTGTCTTTTCGTAGTCCATAGAACATGAACTGAAAACTTACTCTTTTGCCATTTGAAGTGGCCCGGAGGTAGAATGACGCCGTTTAAGATGTCGCGGACGTACATTTTTCTCGCGACTAGAGTCAGAGTCTTCAGAGGAGTGACGACCAGGCGAGTCATTCTTCTGAAATAAGAGAGTTCAAATTATTGAGAACCTTGAAAGGAACAGCGCTGCAAGTTACAATTCATGTGGCCCGCAATGCCGTGTCTGAGTCGCCCGTCCTAAGACGCAGACGCAAGCGGTCGCGACGTCTCCTGTCCACTGGCTGAACTCGCTACAACACATTAAATTCTGTTTCGCTTTTCTATTCACCTCCCTTATCATCCTACATCTCAAATGAAAAATTAAAACATTCTGATCACATCTATTCCCAACAACATAATTCTGAGATGAACTGTCAGTAATAGCCCTACAGAGATCCTTCAACTCATCCGAACAATCTATTAACTT